AGTTTATATATATATATATATATATATATATATATATATATATATATATATATATATATAATGCTACCAAAGTCGCGTTTTTACTGTTTTACGTTGTAGTTTGTCTTGTTTTCATTACTTCTCATCAGCAGGACGCTTCTTCAGCAACATTCTGATGAACTTTAGTAGTCGAAAGGACTCATCATCATCATTGTCAGCTGTAATAACCGCGTACTTGTTGTACAATGGTTGTAGCTGCCACGGTTTCGTTCACCGATGATTCGGGGAGGTGGGCAAGGTCGCTGTGCATTGAAGGCAGGAGCTGATAAATTGGTGCGTAAATACAGCACTGTAGGCGGACTGTTAAGTGGGGGGATTGGGAAGGGAGCTATGCATTGTGAACTATTTTCACACATTTGGTTACATAGCTGCATATATCCTACTACCATGTTATCACACCGACAAGAAACCGGTGTTTCGCTTTTCATCGCGATGTTTAATACCGATCTTCTGGAACTGAACAACCGAGCCAATGTATTCTGCCAAAAAGGTTTATTTCACCGTGCTAGGTTTTCGCGACCGGAAAGTATGATGCAAGTGAAGCGAAGTTGCATTTGGCTTAAGAAAAGTATTTTCACCAATGAGCTCGTGTACAAACGTTGGGGATATGTGCAGAAACATTGGTGTGATTTGCTTTGCGGACATTATATTTGTAGCCAATCCTGTACTGCATTTCGTCTAAATTAACGACAATTTAATACCCACCATGGGAATACCCAAAACAGATGGCCACTTGTCTTGCTGTATAGAGGAAGCAACGAGTAGATGAACCAAACATCTGCAATAGTGGTCAGAATGACTACGCTGCTTACTTCTCATTTACTTCCTCATGGAAAATGGATTTTGTTGAATTTTATAGACTTCTTTGGAGGATATCTCCTAACCTTGCTTGCACACAGGACGGGCCCACCTGGGATCATTCGTGAATCTCACCTCATTCATGGGTCTAATTTTCACTAAACTATTTGATCATGTTTAACATTCTACATCACAGAAGCTGACGCGACCTCAGACTGGTAAACAGACGGTCGCTCTTTTAGGTTTACATAAGCCCGGAACGGCGCTCAGTATTCGCACAGTGGAATTTAATTTTCGAAAGTTATGACGTGTCCCTGATGGACTAAAAGAGAGGCAGTTGAATTCAGAGTACGAGTTCAAGCTTTTGAGCCATATCTAGGCATCCCGGGGTCGCAGCGGTGCTAGGAAAGTATTCCACCAGACTTTTCGGCCAGGGGTATAATTGCTTCAGTGGACAATGAAATTTGGTTATTTGAAAACATGAATGTAGATTAGGATGACTTTTGGTTTGAGCACATAAGCGACAAAATGCAACAGTTTGGCGCAAGTTTTATTCCGTTTGCAAAGGTTTTGCAGCTAAGAGCATTGTGCGGCAACTAGGCCTCGTCCGAAACCACATCAGAAGGCCGATTCGACACAACCTGTGCCACGGCAACACGCCATCGCCTGTACGACGTCGCCTACTTTGCGTGCTAAGTAAACTGACATCCTATTGGTCGATTTAAAGCCAGCCAAATGGTCCAATCAAAGTGGAGATAAGGGTTAGACAACGGTCATTGGGTAGGTGACGTGCAAAACCAACAGGGCAACACCATCTTAGTCATTGTGGCCTCTGTCGCTATGCTCGTTAGCCGTGCGTGGAATATCCCTGTCAGGTGGGATGGGCGGACTTTGGAGCAATGTCATAGGGACATGATGTCAGCATTGAGAAACAGGTTTGGCCGTCGTGCCTCAGGTGATCGGAGCTGTCTAGCGCAACTGGTTCATGCTCCTGACTGGAATGATGAAGTGAATCGATGGGTCGAAGAAACTCAAGACCGTTGGAACGCCGAAATGAAGCGCCTTCGGGAAGAAATGTTCTCCCTGGTGGTAAGTTTCTAAAAACTTATTTTTTGTAACACCGTAAGAGCACCTAGGTAATGAGCGGTCGCTTGCCACCGTCTTTCCAGACACTAGTGCTTTGATCAGATCATTACTACTCTTAAGGCCCATGTAGTCATTTATTTTCAACGTTGTTTGCTTAACCTGCCGGTATCGAGTGACACTTCCGTTGACCAAAAAGGCTGAGGACAACTCCATAAACTATACGGCACAGTAAAAGTGAAATTAGCATCCCCGCAGAGATAAAAGTTCAAACTTTGTTCTCAAGGTTTTTTATCGGTGCCACAAAAAGCTCAGCCGGGGGCTCCTATACTCATTTGGGGGGGGGGGGCAAAAAGAAAGCTGATTTTCAGGCTTAAAGGCGATGAAAATATCCGTAAATGCGGGGATTTTCTGACGGTTCTCTCTAGTTGGTTGACATGGTTCCTATTTGAGGGGAGCGCCTATGCGAATGGTTCGGTGGGTTCTCGAGGTTCATCTGATAATTAGCTGGCCCATGAGTAAGGTAAATACTTCAGATAAATCCATCTGAACTTTAGATTTCTGTATTTAAAGTGACGATATAGTTAACAAACTGTCCTCGGTGTGTAATCCCCAGGCATTTACCACAAAATATTTATAAAAACGGTAACTAAAGCGGGCCATTTAAGAATGGAGAAAATTAAGCCGTCGGGCAGCAAGGTGCGCAATATTCCCTACGCAAAGTTTAGGTGTGAGAGGTTCGTGTCAAGCGTTACATAATCGAGAGTCACCTGCTTTGGGCTTGTGGCTTGTCAATTCAGGTTCAATGTCCGTGTCAGTAGTCTTCGCGTACAAAGCTTGGGTTTGTCCAGTCGGTCAGATATCCCTTCGGTAACACCGAGCAATCGAGTTGTGTAAACTCCAAATAACTTGACGCGAGTTGGTAGAAACGATAGTATGGTTAAGGTCGATTCATAGCAGTTGAATTAGAGTCAGTGCTCCAGTTCTACGAGTCTCGAGTTCTACGAATTCTAACCGACGATCGCCTTGTACGACAAATTTTTTGATACTCTGCACTTGATATCCTGTGTGCACAAAAGCCGGTTGGAAACTTCTGCAGACTGTCCCTCAGACTAAGTTTCGATTGGAAGACTATTGGTAGCTTTTGCTTTAATCCCATCAAGGCTTGTCCTGAACCTCCATAGCACCGGGTCGGCTCACCTTTGATGGGTAAGTACATCAACCAGTCTCTTACTTGCCGTTACTCTCGCCATCGGTGCTACCGATTGCGGAAATTTTGGGGTGAGTACATCCTATAGTCGTTTTTATCCCGATTTTCATGATGCCGTCTTTATTTGAGAACGTTTGATGGCAACTTTATATTCGATGCTACCTTGGAGGTCTTGACTCCACTTTCCGATCACCACATACTCCAGCACCTATGGACGTGTAAAGGTCTGTACAGAAAGGGGTGTCGTTGCACTTTTCAACTCCGTGGTCGAAACGATTATGGAGCGGTCACTTGAAATGTTTACTTCGGGATCGACCTACTTCTCGGAGGAGACCTCACTGACTTAGTACACGGAGGACATCGTGCTGCTTGATCTGGGACCAATAGAAACGCAAAATACGTTAAATAAGTGAAATCATCTAGCCACTGGTTTCAGAAGGCGCTTCACGCCATCGTATTGCAAGGTTCTACTTCAAGATCGAGCGAATGCACCACTCAGCCCACATTGCGGCAGTCCAACCGTTAGAGTTCGTTGTCAAGTCTATCTCCGGGTAGTTGGACCATTTCTGCTAGGGTATCTGTTTACAGTATTCAAGTAGGATGTCTTTCAACCAACTCAGTCTTTTAATCGTTTTTATTAGTCTGTCCCACGGTGCCGCAGTGCTACCGGTATCGTCGCTCGAGCCGGAAGATGGAAGGAAGATGGAAGGCTCCTTCATTCCTGACCGTGGGTGTGTGCTGCACTGCACATGTGTGTCGGTTCGGTCGTGTGTTACGTATGCCTAAAGAGCGTTTACGCAGGCGGACCATACCTAACATTTCAGGATTTGGATGGGTTGATAAGTTATGATAGTAATACTTCGAAATACTGTTAGGTCGAGTGTTTCCATCAGTGCGTACCCTGATTATGTCTCCCCGGCTAATGAAGAAACGTCTGGGCGTCAGCTGCCAGACTTGGCGAACAGAGCAAAAGCCACCCGACCAACAACCAAGGTATTGAAGGTTTAGCTCATTCTCACTGTGGTAATGAGATATCTGCCATGGTGGTGAGCTGAAGATTCGCTCACCCGGTGGTTGAAGATGCCCACTCCATCGTTACTAGATAAAAGCAAGCCTTAGCACTTTTTGCACGCTTGGATTATCAGAATATAGATGGGACATACTTGATTATCAGTGTAAGCATAGCAGTAGCATTGTGGCTAGCAGCAGCACTATGGTTTAAATTTATTAGATCAATCGAGCAGCCGCACAACCACACCATCTTCCACAGCGATGATCAGGACAGCTAAAAGGATATCCTTTCATCATCCTGGGTCCAAGACACGGAAGCAGATGGTCAACCAGCTCATTTTGAGAAAAATTTGCAGACCTATTGTTTACAAGCCCGCTTCTCAACTACAAGTCCGGGAATCGCCATAGGGATAGGCCTTCAAACTGTCAGCGTATGAAACAATGTGATGCCTGTGTCCGAGTTCTCGTTACAGTTGACCGTGGAGTTTGACGTTATTACTTGTAATAGGATCGGTTAGCAAAGCCACCATAAAATCCGTTGTCGATCCACTTCCGTGTCTTGGAACCAGGTGGATGGGCTTATTTATAAAAAAGCATTGTCTTAGTGATAATTCTGGGAACTTATGTATTTGTGTGGCTGTTTGATTATTTTATTGAGAGATAAAAAAATCGCTTTAACAATAACAAGCTAGTGTGCATCTGATACATTCAAGTAATGCAGTCCGACCGATGTGATCGTAGAGCCATGTCCTGTCTTCAGACCTACTGACTTAACTGCTTTTGTGCGAATGTGCTGTGTACCGCTCCGCAAGAAGCATATTCGGTCCGCTACTTTAACTAAGTCCCATGGCCAGTCTGTATTGCAGATATCACCGATTTCAAATAGTATCTTTAGATGAAGCCATAAGCTGATATATTCACGGGAGGTCCAGACCAACAACACGATTGGGCTTGCGTTATGTGTGCACGTGACCTTCACTCGACCAAATTTGAGAATTCCAGCTTTATGTAGCCACTTAGAGATTCAGACTATACTGGCGGAGTGCTCCGTTTAATACTTCGAGGTTGTGTCATTTTGAGAAAAGCCTATGAAATTACGTTCCCCTCTCTCTGCACATCTTTCCCACATTTGATGGAAACAGTAGTCGAACTTTGAGATAAATATATGATCTCCTCACCCTCGTTCCTGAAGCTTCCGGTCGTTGTACAGAATTATCAAGGGATATGCATGGTGAAGAACCTTTTTGATGTAATAACCTTGGCACACAACAAGAATATGAAATCAGTATCCTTTTGACCACTGATACTGTAAAATCCCGTTGATCTGGTATGTCCAAGAAACTCGTTAAATGAGGTTTTTCTGAATGATCAGGATAAGTTTGCTAACACGTCTGCTGGCCATGAGACACAAAATTTGTCTTTTCAATACTGTAAATATTTGAGGAACACATCTGAACCGGAATCAAATCACAGACAAGGTTCTATATGGAAAACAATAGCCAGGCATCAAATTTACAACCTGGTACTTAGGCCCAAGGTTGTTTCAATATGACTGAATGTTGAGAAGCAATACGAGAATAGTAGTTTTTACGGTGGCTAATTGTGAGTTCTTCTCTTAAAACCCGTAAGTAAAAAAACACTGTGGGATAACATACTGACGGATGGTCAGTAACTGTCGGAGATAACTACTAAATTTGCATGGGACCAGAAATTTAAATTCTTATGACTAGTCTCAGGGGGTATTCGTTCGAACGCAAGTGAACAATTTTATAAGCAGCTGGCTAAGACCATCGTCATGGTGTTAAAAGGGTCGACATTCAAACTCGAGATGTTATGGGTGTTCGAAGTACAAAATCGAAGAAAACTATACTTGAGCTTCGTAATCACAATAAATACCGGCGTGTAAAAGTCAGCCGTACGACAAGCGCACTTTTATTGTCTATAGCCTTCTGATCATGCTACACTCTTCGCAAGAGTTATCTGTATATCTTTGGAAATCACTTTGAAACGCTACTCATAAGGTTGCATTACCAGCTGACTGCCGGTATCGCCCTTCTTGAAACTCATAAGTTAAGCGCAGTCCAAACTTCTTGTACATAAAAATCCCGAAGATTCTACTGAAAAAGTAGTAGTGTTCGGTCAAGAAAATGTGCCGCGATATCCCAAACCTTGTACGAACTAAGGAGTGAGACCATTTTTTATTCAGGGCTTTCAGTTGAATTTTCTAGTTCATTCAGTTGATATTCAGTTGATTCTCCCGTTAAAGCTAGATTTGTATGGGAACAAATGCAGTTCAGAAAACAGTTTCTGTTTGAGGCCAGGAGCCTGGTTTAAGAGAGCTTGTATTAGCTGTTGCTTGGGTGCCCGTTAAAATTTTTCCTCTTCTAGTTATTGAGTTCCCTGAAGCGGAATAATCCCATAACAGCCAGTATTTGAGGTAGTTTGAAATTGTCGCGCAATTTATTTTACAACTCTGACTGTTTCCATTTCTTGCATTAAGAGTGACCGAAAATTCATGTTCATCCTGAGGAAATCTAAAACCCTTGAGATGTTCCTTTCATAAGTTGAACCACACTGCAAAATGGAAGTTTGCCGAAGTGGAGATACCCAAAAAGGGTGCCAGCTTGTCTTTCACGCTATTATCTTGAAATCTTGGAATGGTCTAAAAGCAGTAATAAGCTTCGGTGATGTTAGAATACAGATTGATAGTAGTCATTGGGCCTTATACTCGCATTCATTTATACTCCGATTCCCCAGGGATTGAATTTCAACTTGGCTGACAACACAGACTCGCAAAATCCATTTTCCTCATTGATTACACAGCACATCGCCATGCATAACATAGCATCCATAGCAAAGCCCCTCGTCTTGTCCGAATCTATGTTTGTCTCCACTACATGACCAGGCAGTTCATCTATTAATTCCGTTCTGTAAGCTCACTTTCAAGGATCACGAAAACAGACCACCGATAGCGGATTACAACCTAAATTAATTCCCAGCAGTCTTTTTGGTACATCAAGACAGCCATGTAACCTGATTTCCAAAGTACCGTTTACCACTGTCTAATAAGCATTTTGGACAAGACAACTTCCGCATTACTGTTGTCAGATGCATTCATTTTTAGCCTTTCCCCAAGGACGTTTTCGTTACCACTACACAAGTTGAAGCTCCAGCGACCTTATTACTTAAGTTGAATATATTCGAGTTTATTCTCCGGTAATCCTGAATGATCTGGTCATAAATACTGCGTGAGCATTGTTTCTCGCTTATTGAATGTGCTGGTCAACCGTGTGCTGTGATATTGTACCCTTGTCCATCAATCACCCTCTGAGATACAGTACCACGTCTTCAATCCACATGAGTTCATTTTTCCGTTCGCATTTAACTACACGCATGACAGTAGTATATCGCGCACGTCGTTTTTGCTGTATTATCTACTAGCATACTCACCCTGGCGAACTGCTCACCCAAGTTACTTGACAAGTAAGTGACCAAGCCTGTCCTACTTTTCAGTGCTAAGAAATACCGGTCCACAATCAGCAAAGGAAGGACTTTTTACTACACTTCCATGTTCACAATAAGGGATTCAAGCCTATTTCTCATTTGGATCATCCGGTCTTTGCTTATTTTAGTAGCCTTTAACGTCAAGACAGAAATGCCATCAGATTGAGCGGAAGCAACTATGCATCACTGGGTCTTCAGTTACCTGATTCTAAACCATCCACTCAATATGGTGCCTACCAAATAATTTTGCCTATAAATCCTCTGGCATTTTTGTAGCCCGATGGAAACTTCAGGTTACGGGAACGAAGACGGTAAATTCATCGTTGACTGATTTGGGATGACACGTTTTCCGTAACGTAAATCGATCAGTTCTAGCTTTGTCAAGGTTAAATCAACTAAGAGGTGAATCTAAGCTACCGGTCAGTTGAGTAATTCATAAATCCGTTAAGGTGAAGCGAATATCTTCACGTGACCAACGAGCACTCTCGTAAGTAAGAAGTTTATCGTAACTAGAGTATTAAAGTACAAGGAGGAATGAGCTTGAGGACCAATTCAAACATCCGTAGGCGTTCGTAATCAACAGCAGATAGTCATGCAACCGCTCATGTGATGTTCTTGGTTTGTAGGTTGATTGTGAAAGGACGGTCTGAGAAGTATCCTTCCCATGTTACGGCTATTTAAATGAAAGTTGGTAGATTCTTTTGTACGCACTGGCTATCAGCGTTTTCGTCGGAAAATCCTCCTTGGTTGAATATTACACTAGCGACCCCTTTGTCTGCCTGCACCTAAACCAAAACTTTTCGATCATCTCGATATGCAGTTGGCCGTTTGTAGGTTTGTCGAAAGTAGGCTAATTAGAACGCTCGTCAGAGGGCAGCGAAAATATAACCAACTACAAACCTGCAACGGTTACGCCTACGGTTCCGGTGATAATCATGTTCCCCATAAAAGAACATGAAAATCGTCGAAGCATGCAATGGCATTCCACGCCAAAGTAGACTAAATGAAATGGCAAACGATAAACGGTGACTGTCAAAGTGAAGCAAATAACAACAGTAACACCCCAGCCTCTCCTGGTTACGTAGATCAGCATCAAATCCATTCTATTTCTGACACACAGATGTACAAAAGCATCATTTCGTGAACCTTTGCCAAAACCTGGACCATAAAATTACAGATGTAACGGAAAAACTAGTGTAGTGTGTATCAAGACATGCCTCAATTTGAGGGAGTCGCTATTTTAGGATCCTGCCATTGTCCTCTTGTTTTAAACAGTCTCTAATCTAAGCATAATGTATCCAAAATAATGGACTGGCAGCGGAAGAAAGCATACAAACAAAATGAGTTACCAAACTTATCATTTAGCGTGACAACCAAACTTGCAAGTGAGATGAATTCTTTGCTGCTAGACACTACTACAGCAAAACTGAAAATGACGCTCGCAACAAACCTAATGCACTTAGAAGATGGTGCACAAGTGATCGGTTTACTCTGTTTACTTCCATGTCGTCTCTATCATATGCAATTTTCAACTACACTGCCTAAGTGAGCCCGTTCCCTCCCTCTCCCACTTTTAAAGTTGCGGAATTGTATACCTACCTTCCTCATTGTACGTCTTTGCTTTGTTTTAAAGTAATGTACCAGTGGAACCCAGTTTTTTCTAATTAATAATACCTCCGACATCCATTGCGTTTGAGGCAGTGGGATCAGGTATTGTCACCAGGCCACCTCCGTCGTGCAATTTTGCTCTCACTATCCCCATTTGGGGAAAGAATGGCTATCATTATGGAGGTTGATAGAATAGTGAAGCTCCTTCATGTCAATAAACGGACTTTTGTGAATCACTGGACATACAACAGAGCTTGGCATAATTAACCGATTTCAAATAGTATCTTTAGATGAAGCCATAAGCTGATATATTCACGGGAGGTCCAGACCAACAACACGATTGGGCTTGCGTTATGTGTGCACGTGACCTTCACTCGACCAAATTTGAGAATTCCAGCTTTATGTAGCCACTTAGAGATTCAGACTATACTGGCGGAGTGCTCCGTTTAATACTTCGAGATTTGTTGACAATTTACTGTATACATCATATCGGTCAAAGAACTTTCTGACCAGAAGTTAAGGTCTACGGTTCGAACCCAACCCTGACATTTCGATCGCTCCTGCCCAGGCTTGGGCAACCGAGTAGCAGCTTAGTCCTCGCGTTTCCTTCTAGTTACAAGGCAGCTGTGCGCTGAAGGGTGTCATGGTTGAATGTTTGTCTGTATAATGGCGAACACGCGCCCTTTTTGTTATCCTCTGAGTTCGCTACAAACGAGAATTTCAACCTATGAGCTTTGATATCACATGGGAATGCTTAAATCAGTCAGTCGGTCGAGTGTATGGCGATGCTCCGTACCAGCTAATACCTTGATAGGACCAGGAGGATTTGGCGAGTTCGTTATAGTAGAAGACTCAGTAGCCTAGCACTTGTGACTGTTGAACGCAGTCATACATTCGTAGTACAGAATGGTTCCCTACAGAGGAGGTTGTTAGATGGAGAGAATACTGCATCCTTAATGTAGTAACATGTCTTAAATTCAGATACAGCTCATTGCTCCCGGATCACCGCCGTGTTTGGGTTGGAATTTGGGTATTAATTTTAGGAGCGGATACTCATGCACATGTCAGGGTGGTCTTGTGGGATTCACAAGTGCTACTTTTCGTGACGACGTAGTATGTTCTATCTCACTCTACGTAGCCCATGGACTTATTTGGAGTCAGTCCAAGTGATTTCTTCGAACCGTATGGCGATGTGCACTCTGTACTCAATCGCATGGATCATCAAATGCGTGCACTGACTCAACACATGGAACAAGAGGCCAATCAGGCTGCATCAACAGAAGGAGGAAAGTCGGGACCGCTGGCTCCACGGACTAGTAGCAGCTCGCTTGATTTCCTCAAAGACGCCTATCAACTTGGTGAAGATGGCCGAGTAAGTATATGATGAAACTTATTTTTCCCTCATGTCAAACACATCTTGTCACCCTATCTGTTCCCAACACGCGCCCCTGTATTATCTCCACACAGGTTCATTTCAAGGTTCGATTCGATCTACAGGGCTATGGGCCGGACGATATCAAAGTGTCCACATCTGACAACGGTGTGACCGTGCACGCGAAGAAGGTTGTCCAAACCGATCGGGCTTTAAGCAGTCGAGAGTACTCCCGAACAATCTACATACCCAAGTCGGTTGACAAGAATCAACTGGAGTGCCATCTTACCGAAGTCAGTGTCTAACACATTTGATGATTGGCAAATGAATTTAGTAGTTCCGTTTTTGGAGATATAATCCGTAACCTATTTTATCAACCTGCATTTCAGGACGGTGTGTTGATGCTTGAAGCTCCAGTGAAGACGGCGGACTATAAGTCGATAACTTTCGACCGTGATCGCCAGTTAAGCATCAAACCACACTCGGAGACTGAGGTCGGACAAAAGCGAAAATCCGAAGATGCATTAGCCATCCAACCAACTGGTAAGCTACTCTTATTTTTGTTAGCTACCACTTTTCGCCCTGATCGTTTGATTGATTGTGTCCTGTATTGCTGCTCCGCAGGTGTTCTCGGACCAACTGTTCTAAAGGACGACAAGTCTGGAGGCGAAAAGTTGCATGTGGAGATCCCAGTCGACCCGGAATTCACTGCCGACGACTTGTGTGTACGAATGGACGCAAACCGCGTAGTGGTATCCGGTAAAAAGAAGACTGTGGATAAAACTGGCAATTCGAGTAGCACCTTTATCAAGGAGTTTTCACGTTCATATGATGTGCCACAAACGGTTGACACGTTCTCTGTCAATGCTCAGCTGCAGGGGGGCAAACTCTTGGTAGAGGCACCCTTGTTGCGTCCTTCTACTTCACAATAAACATTTAAAATTTACTCAATTACATGCATAAGACTTTCATTCTTTTGCAATATATCCTTTTGCGTACAACGCAGCTTCGTGTCTCCGAAGTTCCGTAGATGTTAGTACGTGAAGCGAAACAACTTTTCTGCTGTAAATACCATATAGGTGCTATTATCGGTCTTTTTATAACGAGGATGATCAAGCGCATTGGCGACTTCAATGTAAAAAGGTCCCCGGAAGAATTAATTCCCTCTGCTTAGGTTCATTTCTGTTATGACATGCGGTGCTCTCTCCTAGACTTTCGGAGTGGGAGTGATCCGTTCCCCTGTGAGTATACTATTCTCTCGTAAAATTAGCATTCTCTTGGGCGATGTTTAGCACTAGTTTTTTGTACGAAAATTATACCTCCTTCGATTTCTTTGAGTCGGTGTACACACGAGCACTACGTATGCTGGCCCCGCGAACGAGTGTCTATTTGTTTTGTATAGTTTCATTTATATTTCTTGGATCTTCGCAAGTCCATTGCACCGCCTTAGCATGTCGGACATGAGAAGCCTGTACCAGTGTCTGTGTTCCTTTCTTGAGGCCCTAATCCGAGGGGAGCCACCACGGGGAAACTGGTATCTGGTGCCCCCTAGTGCTTGCATTCTCTTGAGGACCTTCACACGCTAAATCGTGGAAAACATTTTTAAAGACTGCAACAGACTGGCTTCTGTACAGAGGTGCTGGCTAGTATGTTGCCTACGTTTGTGAGCTGATTACCAGCGCCTTCTAGGGGGTAAAATTCGTCGGCGTGATTGTGATAGAGATGCTCCTACGTTGAGTTCCGCTGCCTGCATTCAGAACATGTGAGAGTGAATCTCCAAAGGGTGGCAAGATTTATAAATGCGATATAATATTGCAACGGATACCACGCGTTCTGTCAAATTCAAGACAGTTGTGCGTGATCCGATCTGCGAAAATCAAAGAAAAAAGGAATGAGACTACATTCAGGTATCCATAGCGTGTGTCGGTAAATTGTTCAGTTGCGTCTGGTTTGTTCAGAGGTGCTGTCTTATGGTTCAACTCATTTTGTGGTGCAGTAGCTACTGAACTCATGCTGCACGCATGCGCACTGCCTCTGCTTGCCCCGGTCAGCCTCCGGCAGCCCCGGCCTTGCACGTGACTTGTCTGCATTAATGTCACCTGTTCGGACGTTTTTCCGTCCTTGATCTGTGCCATCGAGCGTTCGAGGGCGCGGCACACGTTCACGCATCCTGGCGGTCGATGCGCCGACTAATTTGGCCTGATATGCGCCACACACAGACGCGCGAAACCCTTGTCTTGGTCTGCATGTTTGTACTGTTTCACAGCGCAGGATATTCGCCAAAATGCGCACAGGCCTTCATTCACTGCATGTGAAGGTGGATGGGTGTTAACATCAGGATTTACCTCTTTATCTTGCTGTGAACATTGTGTCTTTCCTCCAGGTTGGATTGCCTGAAAAAGTCTACCGAATTTCTTTGTGGAGTGAGGATCCGAATAAGGACATATGGAGCCACTTCTGTTCAGTTAAAAATTGACATGGAGTTAGGATAGGATTGCTTTCTGATTACCATCGTTTAATCTATATTCGGTCGTAATTCGTACAGAAGTGTTCCAGAATTCTCATGACGGCGTATCAGTACAGTTTATACAGCCACCAAATCGGGACGTTTTATGGCTGGAATTAAGTGTAGGTTGATGTTCGCGAGGTTCAGCTCTATTTGCACATTCAAAGACAATCGCAGCTTTCGTTTTCGAAGAGCCTATCTGACCTAACTATGAGTGTCCCTACTATATGTGACTTATCTACCTTCTTCGGATTGACAGCATCAGACTTTGCATTCGAACGGCATAGCATGCCATGCGAATTTCCGATACCTCGGCAGCGTCCTGTCAGAAGACTCGATACCGTACAAGGCTATCGGATTGCTGGTGCCTGTGTTGCGGGCGGAGGTATCGTAGCTCAGGGCCTTGGCGGACTTTACCCCTTTTGATTTCAAGGACACTATCATAATTTCCTCTCTAGTAGTGTAAACCTCGGGGGCCTCCTTATAGTGCATCCCAGTATTCAAACGTGAGGCTGGTTTTGCCACATAAGTTTGTTATCAGAGTACGGTCGCTGTTCACCTTGAGCTGTTTTGTTCGGTCTTGTGATGAATGAGGGCGATCGGAAGGTGTGACTTAGCAACGAAGCGTGGCGGACATGAGTGTCCGAATGACAGTTGTTGACTAGGACCGTGTGCCTGACACCAGTAACTAATAACACTAGCGAACGTAACTGACCTCGCTGTCAGTGGTGCTCTTGCGTCAAAACTATCGACTCTGCTAGATAGCTGTACGATATTGCCCTTCACCGGTATGTTTCGGCGTCAACAAATTTACCAGGCCATTGTCTTCAGTGCGCGGCAGTTTCACTCATATTGTCTTATCTTTTGCCGAATGGAACTGTGACAGACGGAGCTGAAGAGCCCTCAGATCGCTAGACTCTTTCCCATGTGGCGTCGTGCTGGACAAGACATCCTCAGTACTTTTTCTGTACTTCCTCTGCTTCGTTTATGTCTCCAAGTTAAGACGCATGGATAAAAGTGGGCCAAACGCGTTGTCCTTATTTGCTCGGTGGCATAGATGGCAGGCTTCCTTCTAATCAATAAGATTCACTATCATGAAGACTCGTGCGATCGGGAAAGTCCACTTGAGGGATGGTTGCGATTAAAGCTTGCCACACGGATGAATG